CTGCCGCCTGCGTCCACCCGAGCTCCCCTCCACTGCCAGTGCCCCCATGGGCAGAGGGCGCCCTCCCCACCCCCGTCGCTGCCTGGCCATGCTGGGGAGATGCCCACTTTCTCCAGGAGCTTCGCTACAAGCGACAGGCCTGACACCAGGTTTCTCCAGGAACTGCTTGCCTCTCTTCCTGCTCAGCACTCACCTCACCGCAACCACAACAGGTAACAAAATCCTCCCCTGGTTCCGGTGGGAGCCCGAGTGCTTCTGTTCACCAGCACTAGGGCCTGGCCCACATCCCCGACAGCAAGGTGGGGGGACACAGAGGCACTCCGCCTGCAGGCCGCCCCCCAGGCCTTCCAAACTCTGCCAGTGCCCCCTGAGTGGGCCCGCTGGGCCCCCCTCCACGCATTCCACAGCCCACAGCACGTGCCTTCCGGCTGGCGGTGGGTCGGGGCGCCCTGAGTGAGTTAAGGGGTGCGGAAGGCTGTGCACGGGGATTTCTGCGCGGACTTGAGCGGCACACAGAGGGCTCCGTGCGGCTCCAAGGCAGGCAGGGAGAGCCAGCGGCAAGCCCAGCGGACTCTTCCAGAACCGCCGTCCAGCAGAAGCGGGAGTCGCTGCGAGGATGTGCCAAGGCCGGGGGTCCTGCAGGGCCGGACAAAGGGCACGCTGGCCTCTGCCTCCCCTCGCGGGGCAGGGCGATGCGCTGGCTCTTTCCCTTTTCCTTCATCTGCAGAAATCCCTCGAGGGAGGCCGAGGTGGAGGGAAGGCCCGGACAGGAAACAGGAAAAGGGGAGGCAGATGTGGGGGCAGGACAGGAGCTCGGAGAGAAGAGGGGGACCACGGCGGAGAGGGCAGGACGGAGAGGAGAGGGGCCGGGTTGGGGGGGTCCGCAGCGTGAGGCTGCCACGGCCACCGCCTTCCCTTGCTCGCCCCTCCCCAGCCCCTTCCCCCGCGTCCTGGACGTGACAGTCCTCGCCCTTCCCACCCCGTCCCTCCCAGCACCCCCAGGTCTCCTCCCACGAGTTGAGGGGCCAGAAACACCACGTGTCCCCCCGACGGCACCTGAAGGCAGAGCAGGGGAGTTGGGTCCGGACGGGTCCCTCCACTGAGAACGTCCCCAGAGAGCTCAACTTCTTCGTAAAAATTCATCCGCATTTGTAGTTCGGTCTTAAGGTTTTTTATTGACTTTGTGTATTAAAGATATGCTACACCACGCATCCACAAGTGTGTGTGCGATGTGTTTGCGTGGTCTATAGAATAACATAAAAACCATCCGAAACACACCACTGTCTAGAGGCGGAGTCTAAGGCCAGGGTCCCAGGCAAGGAGGTGGTCCCTGGAGGCACAGGCAGGGCGGGCGGAGACCGGGACCCAGAGGACGCAGCCATGGAGGGGCCCTTCCGTGTCTCGGTACTAGCTCACCTGGAGAGCTGAGCTGGGGGCTCTGGCTGGCTGCACCTCAGAAAGAAAGTCCCCAGGCAAGAGCGGGAGATGTGGGCTGAGCCCTGAACCAGTTAGGCCCCAGGGTCTGGGGGAGGCCCCAAAAGTGCTGCACCACCTGTCTTGAGAAGTGGGACGTTCCATTCCCCGAGGGTCTCTCTCCACAGCTTTCTGCTAGAGCTTAGCCCCAGCGGTGTGGATCTCACGTGCTGTTTAGTGCTGGTTTTCTGAGCTTCATAGAGAAGACCTCAGGCTATGTGTTCTATGACTACATTCTCCCCTTAATGTATTTCTGACATCCATTCATGGCAAATTTCCCGGATCACTCAGGACACAGTCGGGAAAATGGAATCCGTAGCGAGACGTTCAGTGGAGGGAGAGCACGGCGGCGGCTGGTCTCAAAGGCGTGGGAAGGCTAGAACACCAAGCGGGGGCTGCAGAGACAGCCACAGACAATAGCAGGAAGCTACCGCTGTCTCCTGAGCTGGAGGGAGCAAGAGAGGAGGTGGTGCAACCAGAGCCAGGAGCTGGGCACCGCCAGGAACCCCGGCCGACTCCCAGGTGGGTGTTGGGACTACGGAGGAGACGGAGGAGAGGACACCGCGCTGTGGCACCTGGAGCAGACGCTGCAGGAGACGCACCGGGGCTTCTGTTTCCCTCCTGCCTTCCAGCCTCTCGCTGAGCCCTGCCATGGGCCGAAGCTCGGGGACAGCCCTTGGCAAGTGAGCCTGGGGACTGAAGTTTGCAGGTGCCAAGTGGAGTGGAGCACGGAAGGTGCGGATCTGCCGGCACATCTGAAGTCCATGAAGTCCATTTCTGCCTCTGCACAGCATCCCGCTCCTGAGGACACTTGGCTGTTCCCAGTGTTTCTCCTATAAGCTTTGCTGTGCGTGTCACCAAGGGCATGTGTGCAAGCCTTTCTCTGAGTGTTGTCCAAATCTTCCGAGCACGCACTGTCCATAGCAGCCTAGTGTGCACACACAGCACGACAACCAATGACTATGAACCAACACTTACCCTTAGAGTGTGCAATGCTTCCTGGTATTTTCTATTCTAAAATTAAAAATGGATACATTTGGCTACATTTAAAAAAAGAACTATTTGTCAAAGGACACAAAGTTAAAGGTGAAAAGACAAGCCACAAATTGGGATGGTATTGGCCCCAAGGCATTAGGGGCTGAGCCTGGGTTGCCGTTGGCTGTCGGGGTGGGGGCTGAGCCTGGATCCCTGTCAGTTGTGGGGTTGGGGGCTGAGCCTGGGTCCCTGTCAGCTGTGGGGTTGGGGGCTGAGCCTGGGTCCCTGTCAGTTGTGGGGTCGGGGGCTGAGCCTGGGTCCCAGTCAGCTGTGGGGTCGGGGGCTGAGCAGGCACTCTTAGGCTGTCTACCTCCGATCCCAGCTCTTCCCTCGTGGCCATGCAGGCTTGGGGAAAACGGCCTCCGCTCCGTGAACCCGGTCTCCAAAACGGGATCAGACCCTGGCCTACACTCTCTCCACTTCGTCTCCTGCAGGTCCCAGTGCTAAGATTCAGTGGATTATCAGGTTGGATCCCCACAGCTGGTTCAGGAGGCAAACACTGTTATTACTGCCATTTTTCGGATAAGGACAGACAGGTCAGAGGGGCGAGCATCTGCCGTGGTCCTTGCTGGCAAGTGGACATGGGCCAGGCAGGCCGGCTGCAGAGGCTGAGTGTGCCTCTCCCGCTCCACCACCCCTTGGTGTGAACTCCCTAGCTGTGAATTTACAAGATGTCCTGGGTGGGTTCCCTGGAGACTCCAGCCTGAGAAAAGGGTTAAGTGCAAGAGCTTTATGGGGACTGTGATCCAGGGAGCAGGTGGAGAGCAGGGGACAGGCAGGGTGATGACGAGATGGGGCCCTAAGCTGACCGGCCTGGGGACCACTGGGTGTCCCATCCTCTTTCTAACATCGAAAGCTCTGCTTTTGACCTTTGGACTTCGCTGCCAGAACGAAGGGGCTCTCACGTTTACAGAGACGCTTTCCAATCCCTTGGTAGAAGTTTATCCTTTTGATGAAGCTGTTTGCACATCTTTCAAGGCTCACTGTGGGCATTTCATGTTTCATGACTATTGTGAAGACATTTTTTCTATCATACTATATTAGTTACTGTTGATGTATAAGAAAACTATTGGTTTGTTTTGACGTTCACCTTGCCCATGCCCATCATCCCCAACTTTTATTTATTCTGATATCTTTGCCATGTTCTGACTGATTTCTCTCAGAGTTTCTAGATGGACAAATAACTGTCATCTGCAAATAACATCTTATTCTCCATCTCATTCCTTATCTGATCACATCATCTAGGATCTCAAGAAGTATCAAGCGTTTGTTCTTACCAAATTTTATCCTTTTGTTTTTGGTGATTTTAAAAGGAATGCAAAATATTTCACCATCTATTTTAAATATCTGGGAGATAACTTTTATCGAGTTAAGAATGCATGCTGGCCAGGCACGGTGGTTCACACCTATAATCCCAGCACTTTGGGAGGCTGAGGTGTGCAGATCACTTGAGCACAGGAGTTGAAGACCAGCCTGGGCAGCATGGCGAAATCCTATTTCTACAAAAAATACAAAAATTAGCTGGGCATGGTGGCACGTGCCTATAGTCCCAGCTACTCAGGGGGCTGAGGCAAGAGGATTGCTTGAGCCCAGGAATTCAAGGTTGCAGGGAGCCATGATTACACCACTGCACTCCAGCCTCGGTGACGGTGAGACCTTATCTCAAAAAAGAAAGAAAAGAAAAGAAAAGAAAAGAGAAAAAGAAAGCATGCTTTGCCCCATAGCAAAAGAGTTTTTATCATCAAGTGTTGAATTTTATTAAATATCTTGGAATTTATTGATGCATCCCATGGCTTTCTGTTCTGAACTAGTAAAACAGTGACTTGTGGTCACAGATGTCCTAATATTGACCCATCTTTATATTTCTGAATGAGTTGTTGTTGGTAAATATACAGATGAATTCCATGTGATGGGATTCTGAGACTCTGTATGTCTAGGGAAGACTAGTCTCTGTGTGATGTATGATGAATTGGAAAATGCCCCAGTTTTTCTATGATCTGTAAGAATAACTTTGAATGGTGGTGTGTGTGTGTGTGTGTGTGTGTTTTGATACAGGGTCTTGCTCTGTTGCCCAGGTTGGAGTACAGTGGCATGATCTCGGCTCACTGCAACCTCTGTCTCCCGGGTTCAAGCAATTCTCCCACCTCAGCCTCCCAAGTAGCTGGGATTATAGGCGCGTGGCATGCCACCACGCCTGGCTAATGTTTGTATTTTAAGTAGAGATGGAATTTCGCCACATTGGCCAGGCTGGTCTCGAACTCCTGGACTCAAGTGATCCGCCCGTCTCGACCTCCCAAAGTGCTGGAATTACAGTCGTGAGCCACTGCCCCCCAGCCCACTTTGAATGTTTTTGACCACTAAACAGTAAGGGTTTTGTGTGCAAGGGATCATTAACTGTGTGCACTTAGGCGTCTGTCTCCTCCCACGCAACCGTGACATTTGTGAGGCTCAGCCCTGCTGTCTGACCTTCCTCCTCATTGCCGAAGGTCACCGCATTCTGTTAAACAACCACCTTCTCCATTCGACTGCTGAGGGACACTGGGCTATTTCTGGTTCAGACTGTGATGAATGGTGCTCTGTGAAGGTTCCTGGCACGTGTTTTTAGAACATATGCAGCAGTGTCCGTGGGGCGCATTCCCAGGAGAGAACTTCTCGTCAGATGCACGCATGTTCCACTTTACCGGAGGGGCCACTTCTCCAAAGAGACTGTGCAATTTATGCTCCCACCAGCAGCATGGGGGTGCTCCACCCGGTTCTTATCCCTTCTGAGAGCTGGTGTTGTCCGATGTGTGCTTTTTAGCCGATTCTGGGAGGTGAGTAAAAGATTAATATAACCTTCTGTCATCAATATGGACAAGTTAATACTGGTTTAATTTTCCAGCTACGTTTCCGTGAAAGTCTGATCAAGACAGAATGTCACTCAGGAAATAACCCCTGATGGACACATTGCACCTAAATGTGCAGATCTTTGCAGGTCCTAGAAATATCTGCTGGGGGCACCCTTGATTTTGGTTCCCCGAGTGCAGTGACCTGCTTCTGGGTGTGTTCCTTGGTGTGCGCCACACTGACCCCTCTGGAGCTGAGCTAGAGACGGAACCATAGGCCAGGTGGCTTCACCCATCCACATGGGTCTTGCTCTCCCACATCCCAGCTGCCACTTGGTGGTGGGGGGGCCAGAGAAGAGGAGGCACCTTTGCTGAAAACCAATTGATCATATACACACAAATCTATTTCTGGACTCTATTCTGTTGTATTGGTCTGTATTTGTTTCCTTTTGCGAACTGCACTGTTTTGATGACTGCAGCTTTATAATAAACTATCGAAGACAGGGAGTAGCATTCTCCCACTCGTTCTTCCTTTTTCAACCTTGTTTTGGCTATTCCTGTTCCTTTGTGTTTTTATACAGAGTTTGTAATCAGCTTGCTAATACTTACCAAAAAACTGCTAGCATGTAGCTCATAATTGTGTCGTATTTATACATAATTTAGGGACAATTGACATGTTCATGATATTGAACCTTCTGATCAAGAATCTTCAGAGTCTTCATGTTCCCTGCTGTGGTGTAAGTATTGCTTTTTGTTTCATTTCTAATTTTTCACAGCTAGTATACAGAAACACAGCCAGTTGTTCTGTGTTGCCCTTATGTCCTGAAACCTTGCTAAGTTCACTTATTAATTCTAAAAGTTTGTGTAGAGTTTCCTTAGGATTTCCTAGACACAATCATGTCATGTGTGAATAACACTTTTTTATTTCTTCTTTTCCAATCTTTACCCCTTTATTTCTTTTTCTTGCCTAATTAAACTAAGATTTCCCATGCAATATCATATAGAAATGTTGAAAGCAGCATCCTTCTTTTGTTCCTTATCTTGGGAGAAAGTATTTTGTTTTTCAATATTAAGTATAAAGTTATGCTCTTTACCAGGCTGAGAAAATTCCCTTCTATTCTTAACTTCCTGAACTTTTTAAAGAATGAATGGGCATTTAATTTTGCCGTATTCTTTTTCTGTAGATGATGTATTCTTTGTAGGGAGATCATCCCATGACTTTTTTCAATTATTCTACTAATACAGTGAATTACATTGACTGACTTTTGAATGTTAAACCAACCTTGCATCCCTGAGATGGCACCTGCTGGTCAGGATTGTGATGACCCTTTCTCTGCAGTGCTGGGTTTTCTTTGCTAACATTTTGTGAAGGTTTTTTGCAGGATATTGATCTGCAGTTTTCTTTTCTTGCAGTGTCTCTGTCTGGTATCAGAGTAATAAAGGCCTCGTGAAATGAATTGGGAAGTTTCCCTTTCTCCTCTACGTTCTAAAAGAGCTTCTGTAATTTGCAATTCTTCCTTCAATAAACATTTTATAATATTTAGCAGTGAAGACATCTGGGCTAGGGGTTTTCTTCCTAAATGGCTTTTAATTATGAGTTTAATTTCTTCAACAGATGTGAAGCTATTCAGTTTTTTAAATTAAAATTGTTCACAAATGGTATTTTATAAATTCTCTATTTTCACCAGTAGCATTTATTATCCTTTTTATTTTTTAAGAGACAGGGTCTCACTCTGTTGCCCTGGCTGGAGTGCAGTGGTATGATCATAGCTCTCTGTAACATTAAACTCCTGGGCTCAGACGATCATCCCGCTTTGACCTCCCAAAGCTCTGGTATTGCTGGTGTGGGACTCTGTGCCTGGCCTATCTTTTTAGTACCTGCAGAATCTCTCCTTCTTCTATTCTTTCGTTCTTGATATTGGAAATTTATGTCAGTACCCTTTTAAAAAAATCAGTCTGGGCTGGGTGCGGTGGTTCACATCTGTAATCTCACCACTTCGGGAGGCCAAGGTGGGTGGATCACTTGAGGTCAGCAATTCCAGGCCAGCCTGGCCAACATGATGAAACCCCATCTCTACTAAAAATACAAAAATTAGCTGGGCATGGTGGCTGACGCCTATAATTCCAGCTACTCAGGAGGCTGAGGCAGGAGAATCACTTGAATCCAGGAGGTAGAGGCTGCAGTGAGCCGAGATTGCGTCATTGTATTCCAGCCTGGGCAACACAGTGAGACTCTATTAAAAATAATAATAATAAAATAAATTCAGTCCAGACAGAATTTCCAGAAGACAAAACAAAACAAGAAACAGCCAGCTTTTGACTTCAATAATTTTTTACTACTGTTTTGGTCTGCTTCCTATTTTTCATTAATTTCAGTTCTGATATTTATTACTTCCTTTGTGCTTAATTTGCTTTTTTCCTGGCTTCTTCAGTTGGAGGCTCGGGTCATTTCTTTGTGCTCCTTCTTTTCCACATTCACTGCTATAAATTTCCCGTTAAGTGCTGCATTAGCTTTTCCCCAGAAATGTGGATATGCTGTTATTTTCAATTAACTAAACAAAGTTTTAATTGTCTCCCAAGAGTCATACGATTTATTGAGAAATGTGTTGTTTAAAATTTCCAAATATGTTGGGACTTTCCAGATAACTATTTTTTATTTCTTCCTTAACTCTGCTATGCCCTAAAAGCATACTTTGTAGGATTTGTATTTTTAAAAATGTGTTAAGATGCATCTTATGGCCCAGGATATGGTCTCTCTTGGTGACGTCCATGCGTGTTTGAGAAGAACATTCTAAGCTGTTGTTGGGTGTGTGTTCTACGAACATCAGTCATCTCTAGAAGCCGGATATTGTCACTCGTGCCCTCTGCATCCTTACTGATTTTTCTGTCCATGTGTCTGACAATTACCGAGAGAAGAGAGATGAAATTTTAAAGCATAACTGAGGTTCTGTATTTCTCCTTCCAGTTCGATGGGTTTTTCTTCATGGGTGTTTTTTTTTTTTTTTGAGACGGAGTCTCTCTCTGTTGCCCAGGCTGGAGTGCAGTGGCATGATCTCGGCTCACTGCAAGCTCCGCCTCCCAGGTTCATGCCATTCTCCTGCCTCAGCCTCCCGAGTAGCTGGGACTACAGGTGCCTGCCACCACGCCCAGTTAATTTTTTGTATTTTTAGTAGAGACGGGGTTTCGCCGTGTTAGCCAGGATGGTCTCAATCTCCTGACCTCGTGATCTGCCCACCTCGGCCTCCCACAGTGCTGGGATTACAGGCGTGAGCCAACATGCCCGGCTAATTTTTTTTGTATTTTTAGTAGAGACGGGGTTTCACCGTGTTAGCCAGGATGGGCTTGATCTCCTGACCTTGTGATCTGCCCGCCTTGGCCTCCCACAGTGCTGGGATTACAGGCGTGAACCACCGCACCCGGCCTTCTTCATGGGTTTTGAAGCCCTGTTGTTTGGTACATGTTCATGTATGATTGTGATGTCTTCTTGGAGCACTGACCCTCATTATTATGCAAAGTCCCTCATCATCCATGTTGATGCTCCTTCTAGATCTACATCTACATCCATGTAGATGTTGAAATGTATTTGTTGGAGGTGAAGACAGTGACTCCGCCTTTCTTTTGGCTGGTGTTTGAATGGTGTATTATGCTTAACCCTGTATATGTCTTTAGATTTAAAGTGCATTTCTTATAGACACGATGTAGTTGAATCCTGCCTTTTAAAATCCAGTCTGACAATCTATGTTTTAACTGGTATGGCTAGACCATTCACATTTAATAGGATTACTGATACAATTGGATTACAAGCTACCATTTTGTCACGTGTTTTCTATTTGTTACATCTGTTTTTTGCTTCTTTTGCTCGCTTTTCTGCCTTCTCTTGGTTAACTGAGCAATACTTTATCATTCCATTTTATGCCCTCTTGTCCTATAACTTATACCTCTGTTAGAAAATTGTACTCACTGTCCCAGGGTTAAGTCTTAAAGTAATCAGAGTTTATCTTCAGATAGCGAGACTGCTTCACGTATAGTGTAAGGACCCAACAGCGGTGTTTTCCCAACTCTTCCCTTCCATCCTCTGTGAATTATCATCACACGCTTTACCTCGGAGCATGTTATCAACACAGTACAATGTTACCATTTTCCCTTGAAATAGTTGTCATTTGCAGCAATTAAAATTTTTTTTAAATTTTCATTTTCATTTCATCCATTTCTATATTGTTCTTCATGTCTGAAATAAATAATGTATACAGTGGTCCATTTCCAAAACAAAGTGCCTTGAATTGGCTTAGGTGAGCAAACTACAGAAGGAACAGGATATCCTAGGCCCCTGCTCAGATAGCCAACGCCTGCTTGTTGGCCTCCCCCTTCCTCCCTTAATTTTTAAAAGTTATTTTCACTGGTAAAGAATTCTGAATCAGGCCGGGCATGGTGGCTCATGCCTGTAATCCCAGCACTTTGGGAGGCTGAGGCAGGTGGATCACAAGGTCAGGAGATCAAGACCATCCTGGCTAACATGGTGAAACCCCGTCTCTACTAAAAATACAAAAAATTAGCCAGGCATGGTGGCCAGTGCCTGAGTCCCAGCTACTCGGGAGGCTGGGGCAGGAGAATGGCGTGAACCCAGTAGGCAGAGCTTACAGTGAGCAGAGATTGCGCCACCGCACTCCAGCCCAGCTGACAGAGAGACTCCATCTCAAAAAAAAAAAAAAAAAAAAATTCTGAATCGGTACTTTTCTTTCCTTTCAGTACTAGAAAGCCATCCCTCCATCGTCATCCACCTCACATAGTGTCTGCAGATAGTTCTGCTGTGCTTCTCATCTTTGTCTCTCTCACGTCTCATGTGTCCCTCTACCTCCCTTCTCCTCCCAGTTGCCTTAGAGAGTTTCTGTATGTCTTTTTTCCTCAGCAGCTTGAATATGCACAGGTTTCTGTGCTTGTTTTTGTTTCTGTTTTGTTTGTTTGTTTTACTTTTTTGGCATTTGTCTCTGAGTTTCGTTAATCTGTGCTTTGATGTCTGTCATTGATTTTGGAAAATTATTAACCATTATGTCTTCAAATATTCCTTCCATGCCCCCTCACCATCTGTGATTCCAATTGTATGTTAAACTGCTTGATAACATCTTGTAATCTCTTGGAGACATGCTCTATGTTTTTCCCATTCCTTTTATCTCTTTGGTTTTCCATTTGGACGATTTCTGTAGAGCTATTTTCAAATTCACCGATTTCTTTGGCTAGGTTAAGTTTACTGACAAGCTTCTCAAAGCCATTTTTCATCTCTTTTACTGTGTTTTCATTTTTAGCATTTTCATTTCTCTCTTTCTCACAGTTTCTTTCTCTTTTTAAGATAGTATGTTATTTTAAGCAAAGAAATGGAAATAAGCTAAGTCTCAGTAATGGTGAAGAATTGACTAACTCTTGTTATTAAATAATAAGCTCTCATTAATTTTAGGAAGACTTAGCTAGTTAGTTTCATTTCAATCATTTACATAAATGTATTCATCCTGACATAGAAAGAGCTAGAACATAAATTGAGCTTTAAAAGCAAGCTTCAAAACCATGGATATTATCTCATGTATGCTTTGTTTTTAAACTTCCACAAAGCAACATAATATTTCTAGAGTAACGAATATCTACAAAATGCTTTTTGTAAAACAGCCTAGGAGGACAACCCACAGAAGACGATAGGGTTCAGTTTGGCAGGAGGTGGCGATGGGAGTCCAGCTTTACTGGTCACAGGTGGAGTTTTCACAGTGAGGTTGTGTCCTGCATGAGTTGTGTGTCTTCAGACGACTCACCTTGTGATTGCGTGGATGGTGTGACAGGAGAGGGAGCACAAAGGGCCCCGACAGGTGCAGGTGGAAGCCTGGGAGGCTGTGGTGGGTTCATGCCAGCACCTCCCTGGGACTGCACACTCCCAATCATCTGTCTCAGACATGCCAGGCTCAAGTTCCTCCCCACATCCGGTCCTTCCATCTAAACACACGTATTCAGCATCTGCATCCTGCCAAGCACGGCTCTGGATGCTGGTGATGCAGCAGTGTGGTGTGTGTATGGTGTGTGTGGATGGCATGTGTGTAGTGAACGTGTGTGATGTGTAGTATGTAGATGGTGTAGATGGTATGTGTGTGTGTGTGATGGATAGCATGTGTGTGGTTTGTGGCATGTGGATGGCATGTGTGTGTAGTGTATGATGCGTGTGTGTGGTATGTGGTGGGTGGATGGCATGTGTATATGGTGCATGAGTGTGATGTATGTGTGTGGTTTGTGGTGTGTGGATGGTGTGTTTGGGGATGTGTGTAAGGCATGTGTGTGGTGTGTGGTGTGTGTGGTGTTGAGGGGTGTGTGGTACTGGGGGTGTGTGTGGTGTTGCTTGTGGGGTGTGGTGTGTGGATGGCATGTGTGTGTGTGTGCATGTGGTGTGTGCAAATTCAGGGTGCCTCCCCCTGAGCACAGTCCCAGCTCCCTGGGAGGGCTGTGTCCTCTGTGGGGCCAGTAGTGAGATTCCCTTCTCCACGTGAGGCTGAGCAGCAGGAAGGAGAGGGGGCCCAGGTCTGCGTGGTGGCTCTGCTGGTGGTGGCGGCTGTCAGGCAGGCAGGGAGCGGCAGGGCGGGTGTCGGGCCTGGTTCTTTCCTCCCGGGTCAGCAGCACCACCTGGGAGGCCAGGCGGTATGTATCCCGGTGTGTGGATTCTCCTCAGTCAACACAGGCCAGGCGGATTGGGGACTGGAGGCCTTTTCTCA